TCTCTCTCTCTCTCTCCCCCAGCCCACCCCACCCCGATCCCTCTCCCTCTCCCGGGATGTCTCTCTCTGTTTCCTCTGCCCTCGTCCCCCGGGCGTGTCTGTACCCGTCTCCCCTCCTCTCCCCTCCTCTCCCCAGAACAAAAAAGATGCAGACACACACTCACCCTCCTCCTCCCACCGCCGCTTCTCCCTCACATCCCGGGGCCTTCCGCCAGCTCGAATTGCCGTTACTAGGCAACGCTGCCACATCGCGACCCCGACTCCCCTCCCTTCACCAGCGGACCGCTCCCGGTCACGTGCGGCTCCGACGCGATTTTCACTCCAACCGGCAGGAACCGGGCTCTGGAGCCACGCGCCTGCGCTCTGCCGGCAGGCACCGGGTTCCGTGCTAGGCGCTTGCGCAGTGCCGTTAGTAGCGACTGGCGGGAGGAGGTAGTTGTCACCTCAGCGGTGGATTAATCCTCGGACGGATATCGTGTTCATTGGAGGTAGCACAGAAGTGCTTTACCAGAATAGTTCCAAAGATGAGGAATTTCATTTATGAAGAAAGATATGTGTGTGGCTGAATGCAACTTCTGAATGGGTGGATTCTTCAGAGATTTAAGTGGTTTAGTATGCGAGAGTACCAGCTTTTGTTCTATTGAGAAGATACTTGTTGAGATGCCTAAGTGCACAGGATCAAAAGCAATAAAAGGAATGGAAAAAAGTGATAAAGGGGTACTGAGTTGAGCAGGACTTTTTATAATTTTTTTTATAATATTTCCATGCTTAAAGTATTTCTGCAATGCAACTGTTTAATAATAGGCTCTATATTACCATAAAGACTGTATGGAGGACTTCACCTCTGAAATACCCAATGGGATTAGAATAGTTAGGTGCTTGTTTTTGACTGGTGCCGACTCAATGTACCAATGGGCCTTTTCCTTTGCTTTATGGCTCCCTACTATAATAGATGAAATTTATTGTACTCAAAAGTATTAACCCTTTCATACCCACGTATGACATCTCCCCAAATATTTTTCTGGTAACTATTATTATACTTAATTTATATTATTATATTTACAACTATCCCATCTCCTCAAAATCGTTGACTTTCCAATGCTATGTTGCAATTGACTCAGTTCAGTTGCAGATCCAGCAGTTCTCAATTGAGATGTACTATCTGCCTCTTTTTTGCTCTTTCTTAGAACTCTTGCTAATTTATCATCATAATTTTTATTCTTTTATCAGTTTTGGTTTGGACCTGTGAACTGGGCAATTTAGGCTGAAGATGACTTGTGGACTTTAGGAAACAGTTGTGGTAAAAAGGAAAGAACAGATCAAACAAGCTTTTGTTTGCTTGTGAGGCCAGGCCTTGAGAGTAGTTGCTGACTAATTCTTGATCAAAAGGGTTCCTACAGACACAGCGACACTAGGAAGTGCACTGTGTTTAAACAGGTAGTAGAAGTTGGCTATTAATGAGGTCAGTCCCTGGGAATTAGTCCTGACAAGTCTGGAAGAGACCCTGAGTTCAAGCAGATGGTAGATGTGATTGGTAATTGAGGCCTCGGGAAAAGATATTAAGCCTCTCGGGGGCAGGACCAGATTTAATGTTTTCTTTTTTGGGACAGTGTTCTGGGGAAGTGAGTTTGGCTGCTGGTGACACAACGTTAAGACGTGGGAAGGCAAGAGCCTACCGGTATTGTCGTTGGACTGTTAATCCAGAGACCCAGATAAAGGTCTGGGACCTGGGTTTGAATCCTGCCACGGCAGATGGTGGAATTTGAATTCAATAAATGTATGGAATTAAGAATCCAAATGATGACCATGAACCCATTGTCGATTGTCTGAAAAACCCATCTGGTTCACTAATGTCCTTTGGGGAAGGAATCTGTCATCCTTATCTGGTCTGGCCCACATGTGACTCCAGACCCACTGCAATGTGGTTGACTCTCACTGCCCTCTGGGTAATTAGAGATGGGCACTAAATGCTGCCTGGTCAGCGATGCCCTCATCCCATGAATGAATAAAGAAATTAAGATTTGAAAGCTCCTGCCTAATCTTCTACACCAGATTCCGGAAGCCCAGAGTGTAGAAAGCAGAGTTAGATGTATCACTATAACTGTACTTGAGTGAGCTGAAAGGGTGACCCTGATAATTTACAAAAAATAAGCCAAGCAGCCCACATCTGTGCTTGTGAAACAAAGCATTGTGAAAACCCTCTTAGTAATCTGGTCAGTTTTGTTTTGTTTTATTTGTCCCTTAACTGCCTTTGTTTATCTGTGTGTCTTTTGTGTGAAATAAATGTTTTGGGTTTAAAGCATAGACATAAATTAGATTACCTTGCTTTTTATATTTTTCCGTGCTAAAATTATTGAATATTTAATAAATTGTTAAGTCTTTTGTTTAAGGTGCAAAACCAATGTCTGGAATTATTTGTGAAGTCTGAGATTAGTTATTTGAAGGCTTTTTATGAATCCCTGGAGAAACTATTGAGAGTCTTCAAAGGATTTATTTTTACTGTGTAGCAAATGTAGAGGTAGAAAGCTAGCTTTGTTTGGCTATCTGTCTCCATGTCGTAACACCTGCTCAATGTCAGAAATCTGTTTTCTTTTCAGCGTTGATAGCAGTAGAAAACATTGCTGCCAAACCATTATAGTTACAGCAGTCCGTCACATCGATGGTATGAAACAAATTTCTCATTCCAGTGGAATTAACCTCAGGAGATACTGCTTTTTGTTTAGGTTCTGCCATGAGCTCATGGAGCCCTGTAAAATCTTGTGGCTGTTCCTTAAGCAGCTGTGCCTTGGCTGACAATTCATTGACTGGCTCTTCCTTGACTTTTTTGTTGTTTAACCTCTTCCTACTTTTGAATTAGATTGACGTCAAAACATGACTTTCTGTGCAGGAGTAAGAATTCCTGATTATGAAGTACGTGTAAGTTATCTAGTATTTGATGACCCCGTGTTGGGACTTACTTGCTGCATACGTTTAGTGTGAAATGCTAGAGCCTTGGGCCATGTAGTTAAACTTCTGTCAACTGTAAAGTGTTTTGTCAAGTAAAGCTCACTATCAAATAATGTTGTTACATTTATTCCAGTGTTCAATTGATAATTTGAGAAATGCCTATTAACCTAAATGTCAGTTTGGCAAAATGTTTAGTCTGCACCACCAATTTCCCCTAGGAGACCTTTTGGTTTGTCTTTTAGAGACTGTTCGACCTCATTTGCCTTTTTTTTTGTGGTAGTTCCTTGGTCTCTTGTTTTCTGTGCCCTGCTTTGGCTCAATTTCTGTGCGTGCCCTGATGTTTTAGAATAAAAACTGTTTACACCTGGGAGGTTTCTTTGCTCCATATGATTAGCAAAGGCTGCCTGTCCTACCTCCCTCATTGTCTTATCAGGTCTTTGTGACTGGATTTGAAAGATCGCGTGCAAGGTTTGATTTTCTCCTTTCTTCGGATTGATCTGTGCACATCCATGACTACTTCCATCTAGAGGGATAAGGACAGCAGATGCACAACACCAACTTCAAGTTCCCCTCCAAGTCACTCACCAGCCTCACTTTGAAATATATTGCCATTCCTTCACTGTTGCTATGTCAAAATCCTAGAATTCCTTCCCTAATTGCATTGTGGGTCAGCCAAAAGCAGGTGGACTAGAGGTGTTCAAGAGGGAGCTCACAACCACCTTCTCAAGAGCAACTAGGGACGGGCAATAAATGCTGGCTGGCCATTGACACACACATCCCACAAGTGAATAAAAAAAGGACCTCTGCTTCATTCGCCATCTGATAGCTTTCTTGATTTAATTTGATTTATTATTGTCATGTGTACCGAAGTACAGTGAAAAATGTTGCATTACCTGCTTTACAGGCAAATTGTACTGTACAGGTCATCAGGGTCACAGAACAGAGTGCTGCATATAATGTTACAGCTGCTGAAAAGGTGCAGAGAGAGATCAACATTAACATTAAAGAGTTAGGTCTTGTGAGCCAGGTCTTCTTTGGATGGTCATAAATCTGAGATAGACTTATCGGCGATGTCTAAAACAATTTGGTGTCTTCTGAATTGTGAGGTGAGTCCCTTTTCAGTTGTATGCAGTTTGTGGTCTAATCCACCATCAGTGAAAATGGTAAAACATGTGGAACAGAGTAATAAGAAATTGCTACATTTGCCTGTTCTGAAAAATCAATTAGATACAATTCTGTCTAGCAATACGGGGCAGAGTTTGTAGCAAAGTTTTCAATATGTTACTAAAAACAGTTCAGAAGTCACTGAGAAGCAGTTCTGGGAGTATAGTTGGAGAAGGAGACATGAAGAGGTTTAAACTTCATGAATATATGAGGGAGAATAAGATGTAAATATAATGTTAAGCAGTACTGTTTTTATACTACTAGGTGGTTAATTGAACTACATAGGTATTGTGTAGGGGCAGTGAGAAGTCCCAACAACAGTTGGATATTTATGTGCTGTTAGAACTCGGGAAGTTTCAGAAGTTAGTAGGCAGTTAATTATTGGAGTGGTGGCTCCAGAAAAGTACTGCGAGCTCTTGGGGACTCAGAAGAAATGGTATACCACTAAGAGTTCAGCACTACAGAATATTGTAGGAGTAGGCCATTTGGTCCCTGTTTTGCCATTCAATATGATTATAGCTGATCCTCTAACTCAGTACTCCATTTTTGCTTTCTCCCCACATCCTTTTGATCCCCTTCCTACTAAGAACTATGTCTTTCTTCAATGTTTTGGCCTCAACCATTTCATGTGGAAGAGAATTCCGCAGGCACTATGGGGGTTGAAATTCCACAAACAGTGTTTGCTTGATATGACAGAGCAACATTAAAGCTCATGGTAAAAACCGGAGGTATTTTTACCTTGGTGAAGCCAACTGATGATGAAAAGCTGGAGATATGCCTGTGAGTAAGTGCTGGATTGCAGTTGCTGAAGTTCAGCAGAGTGTAGACCCAGAAACAGGGTGACTGAACAGAACGGAAGCAGCCATTGAGGAATGGCTCTTTTAAGGGAGTTCTGAAACAAGGTATTCAACAGTGGGATTTGATAACCAACTATGTCACTAAAATCTGGGGAGGGATTTGCTGAAGAATCAGTGGGATCTGATTTCTTCACATTTACTGTTTGAATCATAGTCCTTTACTTATATTTAATATGTTAGTCTTGGGTGTTGGAATATAAGTTGTACACGTATTGAAGGTTGTTCTAAGGTTGAATTGTAAAGTTTGTTGTCATTTGTCTTTATTCTCTCAGCAAGTCCCCTGGACCTCATACTTTGCCTATATTTTTCAAAAAAGGGTTACGCTTCCTAATCAGATTAAAGCATAAATTGGCAGTCTAATCCAGGGAAGTAACTATTTTAACTTTAAGCCTCCCTGCTCACATCTTTCCACTAGCTTGT